CTCTCTCTCTCTCTCTCTCTTTCTATTATCATCTCTCTTTCCCTCCAACGCTCCGTATTCTGCCATTCCTCCCCAAAGCAAACCCCAAATTTCACCCCAAGAACTCCATATCAAATAACCCCCAATTGTATTTTTAAATCCTACACTCATGCTCTGAACCCCCAACCCTCAAGCTGGATTTATCGAACTCAAGTTCTAAAAAAATGATTTATACTCTTTGTTACGAGTTGGTTGATACCATTGATATTACAGTGGGTTTGGATAATTTTTCTTTTGTTTTTATTACCATTTTAAAGCTTATTGCTCTTCATCCTTCAGCATGCATATATGCGAGTTTTTAGCCAAGTGATGTGAAGCACGTTTTTTTTTTTCTGGCAAAATATTGTTATTATTTTCTCCTATTTTAGTTGTCTCTTCGTCTTGGGGGTGTATTGATATATTTTTCCCCGTTTGGTTAAGTAACGGATCTTGAGATTACTGAGATATGTCATATGTGGATTAAAAATAGTGTGGTCGGAATTCTCATGTAAAGGATGATATGTTTGTCATGAATAGAGATGGGCTTGAAGAGACAACAAGCATTCTATCGCTGCTTGGCTAAAGAAATTGAGTTATTGGCTTAGCCTTTGTGACATATGGGAAGTCCGAATCCGCTATACCATTTTTTCCTAATGTATATTACTGAATTTATTTTAATTTGTGTAATTCTTTCTAACTCGAATTTCATTTTGGAGGGCTTATTATAGTGAGTTCAAAGTACATAATTTCCTGCGTTCACTTTTCCGACAAACAGAGATAATCAAACGATAAGGTCTTCTTCATTTGGGAGCAGGGAAAGGCTGCAATTTTGGTATTTTTTCTTTTAAGTGCCCACATTTCTTTGTCTAATTTGTTAGAGATATAGAAGACAATCTATGGTAGGTGACTAAAATTTATAATTCAAAAGAGGGATATATTTTCGAAAATTGATTAGGTCGTTAATGTTAAGGGGTTAGAAGGAATAAGTTCAGTTGTTAAACAAATATGTATACTCTATTATCAGCAACCAGTTCCCCTAATCTTAGGGGACGGAAACAAGCCACTAAGTTATTGACAAACTATTCACCTTTTACAAAGAAAATTACTTCTCTTTATTAATAAAATAAAGCATAATGTTTAGGCATCATTCTCATATATCAGCATGAAATCTCCAATTTGCTGTTTAACTTATACTTTATTGGCAATGAGATCTAACTTCAATTTCCTTTTAGGTTGACTGAATTCTCCGTCTTTCCTTTTCATGTCTTAAAAGCGCTGGGTCGATTTCTGCAAGTGGTTTTCTTTTAGATGTCACTGCATTTTCGAAATGTATATGCGAAGTTATGGATATTTCCACTATTCTATTACACTCACCTGACTGAACAATAAAATTCCATAAGTATCAGCTGTTGGAATGCATCCATATTAGTAGGAAAAAAGACATTTTTCTTTGTGAAATAATCAATGATGCACCAGCAGTTTGTGAACTTTGCTAATATATAAAAGGATTTATTACATTTAAGTGCTATTTATGAGGTTATGTGGATGTCGCTGAAATTCCTAATTGTTTGTAGGCCATGTATATATATTCACATTTCTTTTGCATTGATTTTGTATATTCAGGAGTAATTCTTTTGCTGGTATACAGATGCAAACGATGGCCCATCTAGGAGTAATTCTTTTGCTGGTATACAGATGTAAACCTTTCTCAAAGGAGATTGTATGATCTATCTCCGTCGGTGCGGTGAGCTTTCTTTTTTAATGTTCTTTAGTCCTCTTAGGAGATATCATAGGAGTAGATGTTATAATTGTATTGGCAAAAGTTAAGGTCTCACCAATCCTTTCTTATTATACGTGTGTTTTCATGGGTGATGGTGAAAGGCAGATTATAGTATCTGTTCTACATTAGTGATGATCATCTGTTCTAAAAATCATAATAGTTCAGTGGATGTATTTAGAAAAGGTTGTGACATTTTGTGTGTTGGTATTTGGAATATTTTTATAAATGCATATGCATTTTAACCATTCAGCTACTGTTAAGTGCTAATCTCTGTCATTTGTCTCTTTCTGGAACTTCACCTTTGCATTGGATGAAAGTTCTTAGCATATAGTTTCCAAATAGTTGCTATTGGGTAGATTCAGCTGTCATAACCGACTTGAGAGTCCTCACATACAGTTGGACAACACAAAATGTTTCCCATGTCATGAACTTTGTTGTAAATAGAGATAAACCGGAGTCACATTGTTACTGTTATTGTATTGTTTATATTCGTATGTATTTTGTTAGTATTCTAAAAGGGGATAGAATAGCTTTTGTTGGACAAAATTATTGAATTGCAGAGAAGTAAGCTCTTATCGACCAGAGTGATACAAGGAATGGTGTTTATCACGGAAGAAATGATGAAATAACTGCAAACGTGAATGGATAAAAGATAATTCTTTATAATTTATGCTTGACATTTGTTTGTCTTGCAATTTATTCGACGACTACAGGGGATGTACCCAATTAGATATACTATTCAATGTACTAAATTCTGGATTAATTCATCTCAATATGCTATAACTTGAAGGTTGAATCCATTGTATTTAAAGAGCATCGAAGGAGGTATACAAAATATTCAGATGGCTTTGAAAGGCTGATAGCTTCCTGAAACTGATAAGGTATCAAAGCTTTGGTGAATGTATCTTGAAAAAAAATATGAAATATAAATCTATAAATGTTAGTTTCAAGATTTGATTGTATGCCCGAGATGATTGTATGCTATAACTTGCAGGTTGAATCCATTGTATTTAAAGAGCATCGAAGGAGGCCTACAAATATTCAGATTACTTAGAAAGGCTGATAGTCTTCCTGAAACTGATAAGGTATCATAGCCTTGATGAATGTATCTTGACAAAAAATGTTACTCTTTTATAAATGGCTAAGGGGTGTACGAACATAGCAATAGCTAATTGTACTGGATTTAGCGTAAGTTGTACTATGCATTGGGCCCACTTAATTATACAAGTACTACTTGGTAATTGCAAGTATACCCGTGTAAGTGTTATATTCTTCTCTAAACACGTGTGGTTTGACTCCTATTCTTCTCTCAACAGGTGTAATTTCACTTCTACTTTAGTACAATCCAGAATCTCCCATTCATATTCTACTTGCATTTCAGTTAGCGGAACTGTTCATGTTTGGATTATCCTGCTCTATGATGGTTTTTCACCTTCTTCTTCCTTCTTTGTTTTCCATTTCCTTCTTTTCTCTCTTCTTAGTTCGTTTATTTTACTTCTTTGCATTCCTCAAGTTTGCATTAGTTAAATTCTTTTACTTTATATTTATTTTAATTTTAATTAGCAATTTTGAGATTTTAACCTAAGTTTTGAAATTGGGGTTTTTTAGAATTCAATCAATCTCCAAATGCACATAGTGTGATTTGGAGTTAAAGGGGAACGAATGGGGGACGACTACAATAAAGCTGCTTCATAGTGCTTTCAGTGGCTCATATAGAGAGGTAAGGAATTGAATTTGCACTTCCTAAGAAAGCTATAAGAATTTATGTGGCAGCTTTTGTTCGTTTCAATGGCCATGACATTTCATTTATTGAGATTTTAATTTTTGTTATTTTTAATTCTCCTCTTTTCTCTATGTTTACAGTGTTAATTACAATTTCTGTGCCAGCTTTTATCTTTCGTATCGATGGTCATGATATTTCATTTATTGAGATTTCAATTTTTGTTGTTTCTAATTCTCCTCTTTTTCTCTCTGTTGACTGTGTTAATTACAGTTTGTGTGAGCGGTAAGCAGTGATCAAATCTTCACTTCTTCTTTATTCAATTATTTGTAGAATCTTTTTCCTACATTCTTAGTATAACACAACTGCGACGTCGAGCTTCGTTCTCTATGGTTTTAGTTCTTCTATGTGCTTCTATTTTTGGGTGCATGTTGGTTCTATTCTTTTTCTCAAAACAATTGCACTCATGATTTTAATTTTTTGTTCAGTTTGTAATTATAATGATCTAGCTGTGGTATGAATTTTTAGTTAGTTAGACCATTGATCCATTCCTTCCAACTTGGTATGCATGTCCCTTCTGCTTGATTTTTCTAGAGCTAATGGTTGAGTTGACATTGGATGCCATTGGTTATTACTTAAGTTCTTTGTTAGTTGGGAGAATGAAAGTGAAACAAGTTTATGTTGAGAAGAGTTATTTTGCAATTTATGAGAAACGAAAGTAGTTTTACAAAGTAATAGGCTTACTGTTGAACTTATTGGCTAGTGCAGAAATTCCACTAGATACGTTGATGATCTTTGAATAAATATTAGTCATTCCAAGACTTGGCCCATTTGTTTTGTGTTAGTGCTGGTCTATTCTATTTGTACCATCTTGGGTACCTTTTTTTTATTTAATAAAATTTTACCTTATCAGGCTTGGCTGTATTTTGTTAATGTCTACTTTTTCAAATGCAGTAAATTTTACTTGCCTCAGTGATAGTTTTCTTTTCTAAGATAATCAATATTTGCACATAGTTTTAGAAGCTCTTAGTAGTGGATTGTGTCTTTGAGCGTCAAATTTATTTCTCATATTTTATCATTGTAAAATGGAGAGGCTAGCTGGATGTAAATACTAGAACATTAAATGGTATTCTGAAATGGTCAAAAATTATGCTACTATGTTGTAATTGAAGGTAAGGCTCTAATAGTAGAATGATAGAATTGGGATAGAACTAGATTTGCACTTCAGAGTTTCTTCAGTTAATTTCTATCTGAATGGGAGGTTGTTTTTTAATCTGATAGAATTTGCTTTGTATTTGTGAACTGATTTATAATTTCTAATGTCATAGATAATGAACAGATAGATGATAAGCTAATTACATAGATTGAGACTGCTTAGAATATAATTACTAGAGAACTAAGAACAAAGTTGTAGGCTTTTAATAGCAGAATAGTTGAACCAGCAGACCAAAAACAAGGGGATTCAAAAGAATCAGCTCTAGAATTTTGTATCATTTGGAACATTTGAAATTTCATAGAAGATGCATGGTTAGAATCTATATAGAAGAAAGAGTAAACATTACCAGGCATGAAGTAATATGGATAACTGATCATTTAACTGCACAATAGCAGAACAGAATTAAGGAAATGTTTTCTATGACTGGTAAGATTTGTTTAACTTGTACAATTAATGACAGGAGCCATAGTGTGTCAATGAGGAATAAAGGATAAGCTAAGCTCTTGAAAAAATAACAACGGAGAGAAGACTTTACATATCCTGATCATTCTTTAGGAAAAGCTCGCTCATACCAAGTTAAGAATGTAAGTCGATATTGTTCTTTTCTTTTCTTTTTTTTCTTTTAATCTGGTCTTTATATCTTCTTTTCATTTTATTTTGGTACCGTTTCATGTTTTTGTGGAGTATTTTACAACTATGAACAGTCCATATTTGGGTTTTAGGAGCATTGTGGCAGGCAAAAGTGAGTGGTAAGTTTACGAGGTCAAGAGTGTTTCGTCTCTTCCCTTCTCTTATGTCTATGCACAATAATATGTTTTGATACAAGTAATTGAGGATAGAATCCATTTTCCTTTCTATATAATGGTTTGAGCTTAACTTTATTCATGATCCAATGATAAAGCCAGCCTCTACTCTACCGTGCCTAAAATTAGGAAGATACATCCACATCGTTGTTGCTTTCTTTGAGTACTCTTTTTTGTAATCTTGAAGAAGCATGATATGAAATGGTTGCTTTCCTTCTTTAGGATCCTTCAACAGATGAGATAAGAAATAATTGAAGCTATAGATACTGTAAAATTGGGAATGAGATCGTTGATCTCTGCTTGGATTGCATAGTGAAACTTGCACACAATTGTACTGGTCTTTAAGGTTATCCAACTGTTTACATATTATTGACGTTGGTATTGAAGCATTCACTATTTTTTTTCTTTTTTTACAGGAAAGTCACTTGAAAATGTTAGTTGTCAGGCTCTAATCCTATTTAAACAAGTTGCAGCAGCACACTCAAACATTCTGTCAAGGAAGGAAAATGAAGTAGTCCAGATAATAGGGTTTGCAATGAAATTTACAAGACTGGACAACTTAATAGCAATCAGTTTTGAGCAACTATAGAGTTCTGCAATAAAATTTGACGAGCTGAAAAAGATGCAGTTACTCATTCTCTTAGATAGGTTGTGGAAAAATATTATTTCATCTTTTTATTTTTTGTGGAATATCATAAATAATAGTATATTATACATGTATTGTATAGGAAATCTTCTAATTTTCTCTGTTTAGGTTCCGATACGTTGCACCATGTCTACTAGCACCGTCGCAGTGGAAAAAAACTACGTGAACACTTGGTATGTGTGGCCCCTGCATTAGCAGGGGCATCATCTCTCTAGTGTACATATATATATATATATA